AAAAAAAAAAAAAGAAAAGAAAAAGAAAAGAAAAAACACTACTTAATTCTCTTTGCCTTTTGATACCTAAGAATTGTCCTCTCATCTAAGAATTAGTTGATGCCCAAGTGTAGTTTAAATATATAAAGTTTAACAGAAACCTCATAAAGTAGAATCCTGCAAATATTTGTCTTTCTGCAAGTGGCTTATCTCCCTTAACATGGTGGCCTCAAAGTTCATCCATGTTGTCAAATTATCTAAATTAATCAAATCCATGGGATCAGAGAGAAATAGTGGTTGCATAGGGGAGGGGAGAAATGGGGAATTCCTAATTAATGGACATAAAGTTCCAGTCAAATAAGAGATCTGCTTTACAACATTGTACCTAGGGTCAACAAATACTTATCATGTGCTTAAAAATTTATCAAGAGGATTGATCTCATGTTAAGTGTTCTTAACAAAATAAACATAAGGTGGAAAAAGTATTATAATAAACATTTGTAGGTCTTCAGCTTTTAATCCTCACAGCAATTCTGTGATAGACGCCGTGAAACAAAGGAAACAGAAAGGGACACAGCACTTTACCAAAGAGTGCAGCTGGGAGCGGTGGAGCTGGGGTTCCCACGCGGGCTCCGGGGCGCACCCACTGACCACTCTCTGTGCTAAACGGCACTTCCACACGTCCTCAGAGCCCATTGTTTGTGGTGTTCCCATCTGCAGTCTTCATTGAGTAAAAAGTCATTTTCTCAAGTAAATTTTATTTCAGAAGAGATTCACTTATAATGGCCTTAATATTTTGTGCACATTCAATAGCTCTGCGTCCCTATCTGGTATTATATTTGTTTCCTCGGCTGCTATAACAAATGACTACAAATGATTGGTTTAAAACAACAGAAGTATATTCTCTCGTGGTTCTGGAGGCTGGAAGTCTAAGATCAAGGTGTTGATGGGGTTCCTGCTCCCTTTGAAGACTCCAGGGGAGGATCCTTCCTCTGTCTTCCAGCTTCTGGTGGCTCCAGGCATGGCTTGGCATGTTGCTGCATCACTCTGATCCCTGCCTGTGTCCTCACATGGACTTCTTCCAGGTGTCTCTCCTTTTCTCCAATCTCACTCTCCAAATAAGCACACCAGTGATTGGATGGAGAGCCCATCCCAATGACCTCAGATAGAGAGCTTAGAGGGTCTCTAAAGGAGGTCATAGGTCTGCAAAGACCCGATTTTCAAATAAGTTTACATTTACAGGTGCAGTTAGGACTTGACTCATCTTCTTGTGGATCAAATCAACCCACTTGCAGGTATCAAGTGCATAAAAGGGCATGCATGATAGATGACTTCTACTAGAAAGGACTCAGTATTCCTGTTTTGACTATTAATAAAATCATATTATATGTAATAGTAATAGGCCTATTATTTAGTATGTCATATATTCTTTTATAGCTAGATTTAATTAGATCTATTTGTTTTGCAGCAAACAGTAGAACTTCTGATAGTCAATATGATGCTTTAATTACAAGTAATTTTGTGCCTATGTATGAAGAATTTAAAAGTAAGTATGTATTTAGGTTATTAATTTTAAAATACTTAAGCAACTTCCTGAATTTCCAACCTAAGCACATTTTTTATTGTAATTGATTCTGACATTAAGAATAATTTTGTTCTAATGTTTTAAATGTGGGGACAGGAAGGTTCACTAACATGGTTTGTTTTCAACTTGCTTCAACTTGAAGCAACTTTTAAAAATTCTGATAATTTGTGGTGAAGCCTTAGTTTACCTGGAAAGAGCTATTCACAAAATTAAATTGTAATGACACTCACCATAAGTAAATTAAAGGTAAATGTTTGTCCCCAGAGTAATAATTAATAAGACATGTGTTCTAGTTTTAACAATTGCTCTCTTTTTTGTTGTTGTGGTGGTGGGCACCTGTAGTCCCAGCTACTTGGGAGGCTGAGGCAAGAGGATCACTTGAGCCCAAGAGTTTGAGGTTGCATGAGTTATGATGCCACAGCACTCTACCAAGGGTGACAAAGTGAGACTCTGTCTCAAAAATAAATAAATAATTAAATAAATAAATGGATATATATTTGAGCAAATAATTCTACTTCTAGCAATCTATGCTTAGAAAAATTAACTAGAGCAGTAACCAAAGATGTATTTAGAAGGATATTCTTTTCTTTTTAATTAAATCATAGCTGTGTACATGAAATCATAGAGTACAATGTGCTGGTTTTACATACCATTTGAAATGCTTTCATCAAACTAACAATTGCTCTCTTATAAGCAACTCAGCTGTAGGGACAAATTTGGAGATATATTTAATAATTTCAAGACTACAATTATAGCAAGCAGAAAGCTATCATCAAAGTGGATGCTTATTTATGTTTTGTGGACTATTTTGTAGAACTACCTAATCACCAGTGACAATTATTGAAGCAGAATTTCTTGCTATTTAAATATACTTATCTATAATAGAAAATATTTCCATATTCAGTAGAGGCAGATATTTTTAGCAATTTATTCTTTTATTTTTAGAAATGTGGGACTACTTCCACCATGTCCTTCTTATAAAATACGCAGCAGAGAGAAATGGAATCAATGTGGTTAGTGGACCGATATTTGATTATAATTACGATGGCCATTTTGATGCTGCAAATGAAATTACTGAGTAAGTAATTTGACTTTTTAACTGAGCAATAGGGTATCATGAAGAAACATATCTTGATAATTTAAACAAAGTCTCTGTATTTTAAGTATTATATAATACATAGTATATACATAAGCAGATGTTATTGTTGACTATTTTATACAGCCAAAATTTAAACTAATGGGTGAACAAAACATTTCCAGGAAAAGTTTAACAAAAACTGTATTTGGGGCTCGGCGCCTGTGGCTCAAGTGGCTAAGTCTCCAGCCACATACACCTGAGCTGGTGGGTTCGAATCCCTCCCCCCGGCCCGCCAAACAACAATGACAGCTGCAACCAAAAAATAGCCAGGCGTTGTGGCGGGCGCCTGTAGTCCCAGCTACTTGGGAGGCAGAGGCAGGAGACTCGCCTAAACCTAAGAGTTGGAGGTTGCTATGAGCTGTGACACCATGGCACTCTACTAAGGGCAACGTAGTGGGGTTCTGTCTCAAACAAAACAAACAAAACAAAACTGGGAAACACAGAAGGCAAAACACAGGAGGTATTCTAGTATTTTCCCATAATGCTGGAATGTCTGAACTTAAACTTCTACACAAATCTCTTTTGGCTGATGAAATTAAAAAGGAAAAATACATGCTAGGACTCTGTATTTTTTATTCATTGCTTTCTTTTACTAGATTTTTACCTTGGCCTTTCTTTAAAACTATATAAAGATATTTATAGTCTTTAGATGCAAAAATATAATACCATTGAATCTTTTCAATTGTGTTTTTAGACATGTGGTCGGCACCAGTGTTCCCATCCCAACTCACTACTTTGTAGTGCTGACAAGTTGTAAAAACAGGAGCCACACACCTGAAAACTGCCCTGGCTGGTTGGATGTCCTCCCGTTTATCATCCCTCACAGACTTACCAATGTGGAGAGCTGTCCTGTGAGTATGCTTTGGGAGAGAAAATGAATATCTCGGAGTTCATGGGGCTTTATAGCAGTGGCTCAGATTAAAATATGTTTGTTAGGTGTTTCATGGCTATAGTTGTAATAAAAATGACTTCATATTTGAGCTTTTGCTTAACCTATTGATTTCTATGGAATTAAATCATTTAAACATATATCTGCAAACAAGAGCATGTGTTTATATAGGCATACATTATAAATTTTATGTATTTTATTCTCACTAATAAGGAAATGGGTGAGATATCATATTAAACTTCTTATTCTGGACATAAAGCTTAAGGTTCTCTATCCCAAAGTTGGCACTAAATTAATGTTTCCTGAATGAATATATAAATATAAAATTTGATCAACTGGAAACATGAGGTGTGAAATTAATTTTACCCACACATAGACACCAAATAAGTTAGTTTAGGTAACATCCTTTTTTTAACATCATGCATCTTTCTTAATCAAGGCAGATAATATGCAAATAGTTGCTTCAGCTTGTGTAGATTCTTTATAGGAAAAAATATGTATTCAGGAAGGTGTTTTTTACTGAAGTCATTCAATGAACGTATTGAATACCTATTAAGTACACAGTATTATGGTAACAACTCTTTAGAATACGCAAAGGAGGAAGATACTGCCCCTGCCCTCAAGGAGGTTTTATACAACTTTGATATATAAATGAAATATAAGGTTGGTACAAGAATTATTTTGGCTTGGTGCCCATAGCACAGTGGTTATGGCACCAGCCACATGCACCGAGGCTGGCAGGTTCGAACCCAGCCCGGGCCAGTTAAAAAACAATGACAACTGCAATAAAAAATAGCTGGGTATTATGGCAGGCGCCTGTAGTCCCAGCTACTTCGGGGGGGGTGGGGGGCCTGAGGCAAGAGAATCACTTAAGTCCATGAGTTTGAGGTTGCTGTGAGCTGTGATGCCACAGCACTCTACTGAGGGCAACATAGTGAGACTTTGTCTCAAAAAAAAAAAAGAATTATTTTAAAAATTGATAAGAGATATCACAAAATTTGTGACTAATTGTCAAACACTTTGAAAAGGTTTCAGTATTTGAAATTAAAAACTGGAACGGTCAATAAAGATTTTGTAAAATGAGGTGGCAGTAGGTCTGGGCCTTACAGAATAGGAAGATTTTGAATAGATTGAGAAGATTATGAAGAGTCTTCCATGAAGGATGTGATGTATGAAAAGGATTTCGTAACTGATGATTTTGGCAAGAGCCAAAGGAAAGGGAAACTCAAAGATGAATCAGAGATTTTTGATGTAAATAATTAGGAAAAAGAAGCAAAGAGGAAATATAGTAATGAGAACTTGTTAGCAGGTAGATAGAGTTATGTTTAGGCATGTCAAGTTTGTGGAAATGGGCACTGACATGGAAAGTTCCGTGGGCAATTAAAAACTGGAAATTAGGCTCAGCGCCCATAGCTCAGTGGTTGGGGTGCCAGCCACATACTCTGGGCAGGTGGGTTCAAAGCCAGTACACCCCTGCTAAACAAACAAACAACAACTACAAAGAAAAACAAAACAAAACAAAAAAATGCACTTGTAGTCCCAGCTACTTGGGAGGCTGAGACAAGAGAATTGCTTGAGCCCAAGAGGGTGACAAAGTGAGACTCTGTTTCAATAGAAATAAAAATAAATAAAAATAAAAACTGGAAATTAAAGCTCACATTCTAGGTCAGATTGGGATTCATCAATATTTTGTGTACAATGAGAAGCATTCACACTTGGAAGCCTAGGAAGATAGGAGATACAAGAGGCACAAGAGAGGGGCAGGTATATTGTTCTAGGATTTCAGAGGAGAGAACGTGACATTTTAGCTGGGTCTCGCAGAAAGGAGTTTACCTGAGTGAATGATCCTTTAGTGACTAAAGGTGGAGGCCAAATGTTACAGGCTGAACAATGAGCCACTCACAGTCCTTAAATGAGGAAGAAAAGTTTCCACACAAGAAACTTACAGGAGATGTTGAGTTGAAGAATCACTTTCTGTTTTTCTTATCAGAATTTTATCAGCACCATATTCTTAACCAACTGTGATACCAGCCAGCTATCTCAGCATTTTTAGTTGAGACATAAGGATAACACATCATTTTTCACCTCTCCTTCCAATAGCAGACATTGACAACTGATAATGTGGTACTGTTTACCGTGAAAATCAGGATTAAATAGTTCTTTAGTACAGAGGTTCTGGGTAGCCATAAGTATAAAGGGTATACAAAGAGGAAACTATTTGCTATCCCTGCTGTAGACCCTCATAACCTTCTATCAGGACTTCTGGAAATGAATTTTTTTTTTTTGAGACAGAGTCCCACTATGTTGTCCTTCGTAGAGGGCCATGGCATCCATAGCTCACAGCAACCTCAAACTCTTGGGCTTAAGCAATTCTCTTGCCTCAGCCTCCCAAGTAGCTGGGATTACAGGCTCCTGCCACAACACCTGGCTATTTTTTGTTGCAGTTGTCATTCTTGTTTAACTGGCCCAGGCTGAGTTCGAATCTGCCAACTTTGGTGTATGTGGTGCTGTAACCACTGTGCTATAGGCACTGAGCCTGGAAATCAATCTTAAATAGATTTGCTAACTCCTATTTTCCTCTTATTCACTTGTGCATAGGAGGAATAACTCCCAAATTATTCATCTTTAAACTTAGTTTTCATCATGTCGTATTCCTTCACTTGAAGACTTTGAATTAGGCATCCTAAAACTACGGCCCACAGGCCACATGCAGCCCACCTAGGACATTTGTCCTGGGTGTTTTTGCCGCCACTGCCTGTCCTGCTTAGCAGACAACTTGTCCTGGGGCCCACAGTCCAGCCCTCCAATGGTCTGAGGGACAGCGAACTGGCTCCCTGTTTATAAATAAATAAATTCATTTATTATTATTCATGAATAGACTAGATGAATAGATAGTTTATTCATCTATCCTGAATAAAAACCAAAAACAAAAGGGAAACTCCCAGCTTATATTTAAAGTCTCTATGCAACATACCTTCAGTAGACCTTGCAGGCGGCCCATGTTCTAGGCCAACTAGAGTCCTTAAACTTATTTGAACATACCTTGAGTTTTCCTACTTTATCATTGTTGTCCATATTCTTCTCTCCTCTAGAACTCCCTTATTTCTCATCTATTAAAAGTTCCAGATTCGGCTCGGTGCCTATAGCTCAACCAGCTAAGGCGCCAGCCACGTACACCTAAGGTGGCGGGTTCGAGTCCCCAGCCCGGACCCGCCAAACAACGATGGCTGCAACCAAAAAATAGCTGGGCGTTGTGGCGGGCGCCTGTGGTCCCAGCTACTTGGGAGGC